ATTAATATCGTAAAACTACAGTACCAAACTTAACAATAATAGTTTTAAATTGTATATTAAAAAATTATATGTCAAAGCCCTTGCTCCCGAGACTATATAATAGACAATTGTGCATACTATAGAATAGACCATAGTCCAGACTATATATCAGACTACAGTGCGCTTTATTGTTAAGCTCGACTTTAATAGTAGTCAATAGTCTGAACAATTTTTAGGGTCATGTAAGGGACTATAGTTTTATTTGAACTTCACTAAATATTTTAACCTTCTTCATTACATTCTTTATTTTTTTTTTTCTGATTTGTTTTGATTTTTTATAATAATTTATTGTTATTGCTCTTTTTTTCCAGCGATCTAGTCCAACGTCTTCATCAGAGGTGCGCGCCATGCAAGCACGTATACCAACCACATTTTCGTGATCCCGCAACGGCGCCGTTAAGAAAATTAAGTGTGGATTTAATCAAGACCTACAAGCATATAAATGAGGTAAGTCTTCCGAACAATTTCTTTTTTTCTACTTTGTATTGTAATACAATAAAATTCTAATCAAAACGAAATAAGTGAACAACATCAAATGCAAATGTTTAGAAAGAAATCGTTTTTCTATGAGTTGTTTTGAAGAACAAAAATTTAATTTTATACAATTACGATTTAAACGTGCTCTGCGTGGTTTGTATTTAGTTTTTGTTAAAAAATGGGTCAAGGGCATTTCTAAACTAACGGTCTTCAATTTTATTTAAATTTCTTAGTTTGTTCAATTGGGTTGTTGCTATTGTCGTTGTCATTGTCAACTGAACGACATGTGTCGATTTAATGATATACGGTTTGTGTTGTTATTCTTTTTTCTTTGTCTTTTTTTTCTATATTTTATTTCAATTTTTTAGTTTGTATATCGAAAATAATATACACACAAATAATGCTATGGCTCTTTGTACTGGGTATTTCGAAAATAATTAATACTTTGTGTATTGTTTGCTCCAAGTGCAAATGTAAGAAAAAAAATTGGTGTGGAAGAGAATCAAGGCTATTGCAACTTTAAGTTGAGTTCTTGTTCTGTTCTGGTTCATTTCAAGTTCAGTTCTGTTTCAGTACTGTTTCATTTCTAGTTCCACTTCAGTTCTAGTTCATTTCTAGCTCTGTTCTATTTCTGTTCTAGCTCTGTTCTATTTCTGTTCTAGTTCTGTTCTAGTTCTGTTCTAGTTCTGTTCTAGTTCTGTTCTAGTTCTGTTCTAGTTCTGTTCTAGTTCATTTCTAGCTCTGTTCTATTTATGTTCTAGTTCTGTTCTAGTTCTGTTCTAGTTCTGTTCTAGTTCATTTCTAGCTCTGTTCTATTTATGTTCTAGTTCTGTTCTAGTTCTGTTCTAGTTCTGTTCTAGTTATGTTCTATTTCTGTTCTAGTTCTGTTCTAGTTCTGTTCAGTTCTGTTCTAGTTCTGTTCTAGTTGTTCTAGTTCTGTTCTAGTTCTGTTCTAGTTCTGTTCTAGTTCTGTTCTAGTTCTGTTCTAGTTCTGTTCTAAGTTCTGTTCTAGTTCCTGTTCTAGTTCTGTTCTAGTTCTGGTTCTAGTTCTGTTCTAGTTCTGTTCTAGTTCTGTTCTAGTTTCTGTTTAGTTCTGTGCTAGTTCTGTTCTAGTTCTGTTCTAGTTCTGTTCTAGTTCTGGTTCTAGTTCTGTTCTAGTTCTGTTCTAGTTCTGTTCTAGTTCTGTTCTAGTTCTGTTCTAGTTTGTTCTAGTTCTGTTCTAGTTTTGTTCTAGTTCTGTTCTAGTTTGTTGTAGTTTCTGGTTCTAGTTCTGTTCTGTTTTAGTTCTGTTCTTGCCCTCTTCTAGTCCTGTTCCAGTTTTTTCTAGTTCAGTTGGTTAGATGTTTCTAAAAATCCTATAAAATCAAATTTTTTTCATTTTCTAATTTACATAAATATGCAGTTAAACTGTTTGTTGTCATTTATATTTCTCACATTTAAAATTTACTCTTGGAATAATAACAAACATTAAACCACCAAAAAAAGTGCAAAAAACATACTTCCAAAAAAATTAAAAAATATTTTTAAGAAAAACTGGATATACACCATTAACACGCTGTTGAATACTTTCATTTCCATAACACACCATAATGAAGTTAAAAATAACAATATCTATGATGATAATGATGTAAATAAAATATAATAATGATGAAGATGCTGCTGCTGTTTTTGGATTGTCGGTTGTATGTGTTTTTGGAGTGCAAATGACTGGCGCTAAGCATACGGTTTAATTTTCGTTGTTGTTTTTCTTTTGTTTGTTTTTGTTATTGTTTATTAATGGTAGACTTATAAAAATGGGCTCCAAATAGACCCATACACTCTCATGCATACACCACAATAACGCATTCTGTAATTTTCTCTTGTTTGCAAAACAAAAAAAACAAAAACGTTAGAAGGTGTTGGAATTTACTGGGTGGGGGTGGATGTGTTGTTGCTGTTATGAATGGGAGTGTGAAGTATGCTAGAGTGTATGTGTATTTTTGTGAGTTTGTTTTGGTTAATCAATTTGCAAGAGTTGTTGAGTGCAGCAGAGTTTTTACATTTTGTTTTGCAGATTTTTCGTTTGAGAAGCGTTTTTCTTGAACATGTTTACTTGAGCTCAAAACATAAGTTTGATGTTGCCAGATGATAGATTTTTTAAACTAAAGTACATATGTCTATGAAATGGAACTGCACTTAAAATAAACTAAAATTGAACTAGAACTGAACTAGAACTGAACTAGAACTGAACTAGAACTGAACTAGAACTGAACTAGAACTGAACTAGAACTGAACTAGAACTGAACTAGAACTGAACTAGAACTGAACTAGAACTGAACTAGAACTGAACTAGAACTGAACTAGAACTGAACTAGAACTGAACTAGAACTGAACTAGAACTGAACTAGAATTGAACTAGAATTGAACTAGAACTGAACTAGAACTGAACTAGAACTGAACTAGAACTGAACTAGAACTGAACTAGAACTGAACTAGAACTGAACTAGAACTGAACTAGAATTGAACTAGAACTGAACTAGAACTCAACTAGAACTGAACTATAACTAGAACTGAACTATAACTAGAACTGAACTATAACTAGAACTGAACTATAACTAGAACTGAACTAGAACTGAACTGGAACTAGAACTGAGCTAGAACTGAACTAGAACTGAACTAGAACTGAACTAGAATTGAACTAGAACTGAACAAGAAATGAACTAGAACTGAACTAGAACTGAACCAGAACTGAACTAGAACTAAACTAGAACTGAACTAGAACAGAACTAGTACTGAACTTGAACTGAACTAGAACAGAACTAGAACTGAATTAGAACTGAACTAGAACTGAACTAGAACTGAACTAGAACTGAACTACAACTGAACTACAACTGAACTACAACTGAACTACAACTGAACTAGAACTGAACTAGAACTGAACTAGAACTGAACTAGAACTGCACTAGAACTTAACTAGAACTGCACTAGAACTGAACTAGAACTGAACTTCAACTGAACTACAACTGAACTAGAACTGAACTAGAACTGAACTAGAACTGAACTAGAACTGAACTAGAACTGAACTAGAACTGAACTAGAACTGCACTAGAACTGAACTAGAACTGAACTAGAACTGAACTAGAACAGAACTAGAACTGAACTAGAACTGAACTAGAACAGAACTAGAACAGAACTAGAACTGAACTAGAACTGAACTAGAACTGAACTAGAACTGAACTAGAACTGAACTAGAACTGAACTAGAACTGAACTAGAACTGAACTAGAACTGAACTAGAACTGAACTAGAACTGAACTAGAACTGAACTAGAACTGAACTAGAACTGAACTACAACTGAACTAGAACTGAACTAGAACTGAACTAGAATTGTACTAGAACTGTAATATAACTAGATTTTGAAACGAACTAAAATATTTTTCCTCTACTTTTTACAATTTCTAGTTTGTTGTAGGGCATTTGAATTTCTCCATCTGGTAGCCCATAAATGTTAATCAATAAACATCTGCCTTGTTATACTAACAAGTTAAGCATAAAATTGTTAACATTTCATTTGCTAAGTGTTCTGGTTTTTCCTACAAATTCCAGTTTCCTTTTTAAAGTTTTGTTTATTTTAGCCATAATTTTATTAATATTTAAGACAAACACCTAGCATGGCCTAAACTTAATAAGGAAATTTTACTTAAAATTTTAAAGCTCTCAATTGTTCGCTCTCATCTCTGTAGCTGTTCTTTTGTTTATTATGCCCCCTAAAAATATGCTGCTGTAAATGTAATTGTTGTACACAAAAATTTAGCTTCCACTTTTTTGTTTTGAAAGAGAGAGAGAGAGTAACAGTTTCCGAATTTTACTTGTTGTTGTTGTTGGTAGATGAGAGAGAAGTTTACTAAAGACGCTTACGGCAAACGTTAACGTCAACTGCATTTGGCATACACCCATTTTTAAGCGTTTATCCCATATAAGTTTGGTTGTAAGAGTGTTTGTGTTTTGTTGCTGCTTCTGCTGCTACTACTACTTTTCCTGTATAATTTTGTAATAGCTAAGCAGACTTTTAGGCGCAACTCTAAAGTGTTACTCTTATATTCTCTTATTTCTTTAGTTTTTCTTTTATTTTTTCTGCTTCTTTTGTAAGTTTTGTTTATTATAATGTTTGCTTTCATAAATATTTCCTTGTTGTTTTTAATATTTAATAATAATATTGTTTTATTATTTATTTATTTATTTATTTTGTGTTTGTTTTTGTTGTTGCTGTCTACAGCATCACGTTTTTGTAGGTTCCTGTTGGTAGTATATCCCCCCCTTTTGGGGGCAAATGTTCGAGAGTTTGTTTATATCTCTCTCTCTTTGGTACTTCATGTGTTTGTTGCTTTTTTGTTACTTTCGTTTCTTTTGGTATATGTGCGATACATTTTTGTTGGTGTTTTTTTACTTATACATCTTTATTTTTCTGCTTTAGTCGCCATACACTCACACATACATTTACAGCCAGAATTCTAAATGTTCTACGGGTTAGCAACAACTTTTTTGCAATTTTTGATTTTTCATTGCATACTTTTATGGGTGAGCTTACACATACTCACTCACTTACGTGCTCGGTCGCTCGCTCGCTGCTCTCTTACATTCCTACATACAAAATGTAATGTATTAGTCGGTTGGTATAAGTAGAAATTGAAAAGTATAGAGAAGGGGAGGCCGGCTAGATGGCTGACTGACGGACTGACTCTTTAAAGAAGGTTTTTCTCTATAAAATTCAATGGTTATAGGGAAGAAAGTTTGGTTTGTTTAGTTGTCTAAATGGCTGGCTGTCAGACTGTAAGTAGAGAGTGTAAATGTATGTGTGTTTTTGTTGGCTGGCTGGCTGACTGGCTGGTTGCTTGTCTATCCATGGGTATCTTCTGTTTGACTGCTAGTTTTTGAATGTTGTTTTTTATTTTGTTCATTCTAGGCTCTTCGTTTTTTTTACCAAAGTATGGGTATGATGATTGCATTGTATACTTTCTTTTTGTTATTTAATTTCTGTTATGTTTTTTTTAATTGTGGCTGTATTTTCTTCTATTCCCTCAGACACATGCGCTTTTGCCTGTGTTTACATTTCTATATACAAAGTTTGCAAGTGAGTGTGTGTGTTTTTTAGCAAAAAAAAAAAAAAAAAAAAAAAAAAAACATCATAATAAAAACACACAAATTAAAGTTTTTGTTTTCACATACTCCTCGCTATCATTTGTAGATTTATTTGCCATTTTTTATCTGGAAATATTTTTCCTTTAGATGTTTCCTCTTTTTGTTAACTGCCGAGAATTTAGAGAAAAAATGATCCTGTTGCTGGATGAATATTGATTTTTTTAAAGGAGGGGAAATAGTACATAAATTAAAAGCAGAAACTTTAAAAAAAAGTTCCCGCAAAAACTCATGAAAAAAAGAAAATAAATTAACAATTTAAACAAACGAAATGTTGCCTATGTTTAGCTTTACCATTAAGATACTTAAAATAGGCTTTAATTTTATTTAAATTTGTATTGTCCACTTTTAGGTTTATTATTTCAAGTTTCTAAATGTTAATGCCAAAAATGTTGCATACTTTTAGGCGCTTTTTAATTAAACACTATGAAAATATAGTATATACAGAACAGAAACTGAAAAGAACTAAAACAAAACTATAGCTGAACTAAAACAGAATTAGAACAGAACTAGAACAGAACTAGAACAGAACTAGGACAGAACTAGAATAGAACTAGAACAGAACTAGAACAGAACTAGAACAGAACTAGAACAGAACTAGAACAGAACTAGAACAGAACTAGAACAGAACTAGAACAGAACTAGAACAGAACTAGAACAGAACTAGAACAGAACTAGAACAGAACTAGAACAGAACTAGAACAGAACTAGAACAGAACTAGAACAGAACTAGAACAGAACTAGAACTGAACCGAACTAGAACTAGAACTGAATTACAACTGTATTAGATCTGAACTAGAACTGAACTAGAACTGAACTAGATCTGAAGTAAATCTGAACTAGAACTGAATTAGAACTGAACTAGAACTGAACTAGAACTGAACTAGAACTGAACTAGAACTGAACTAGAACTGAACTAGAACTGAACTAGAACTGAACTAGAACTGAACTAGAACTGAACTAGAACTGAACTAGAACTGAACTAGAACTGAACTTGAACTGAACTAGAACTGAACTAGATATGAACTAGAACTGAACTAAAACTGAACTAGAACAGAACTAGAACAGAATTAGAACAGAAATAGAATAGAACTAGAACAGAACTGAACTAGAACTGAACTAGAACTGAACTAGAACTGAACTTAAACTGAACTAGAACTGAACTAGAACTGAACTAGAACTGAACTAGAACTGAACTAGAACTGACTGAACTAGAACTGAACTAGAACTGAACTAGAACTGAACTAGAACTGAACTAGAACTGAACTAGAACTGAACTAGAACTGAACTAGAACTGAACTAGAACTGAACTAGAACTGAACTAGAACTGAACTAGAACTGAACTAGAACTAGAACTGAACTAGAACTGAACTAGAACTGAACTAGAAACTGAACTAGAACTGAACTAGAACTGAACTAGAACTGAACTAGAACTGAACTAGAACTGAAACTAGAACTGAACTAGGAACTGAACTAACTGAACTAGAACTGAACTAGAACTGAACTGGAACTAGAACTGAACTAGAACTGAACTAGAACTGAACTGGAACTAGAACTGAACTATAAATAACTAGAACTGAACTAGAATTGAACTATAACTGAACTAGAACTGAACTAGAACTGAACTAGAACTGAACTAGAACTGAACTAGAACTGAACTAGAACTGAACTAGAACTGAACTAGAACTGAACTAGAACTGAACTAGAACTGAACTAGAACTGAACTAGAACTGAACTAGAACTGAACTAGAACTGACTAGAACTGAACTAGAACTGAACTAGAACTGAACTAGAACTGAACTAGAACTGAACTAGAACTGAACTAGAACTGAACTAGAACTGAACTAGAACTGAACTAGTACTGAACTAGAACTGAACTAGAACTGAACTAGAACTGAACTAGAACTGAACTAGAACTGAACTAGAACTGAACGAGAACTGAACTAGAACTGAACTAGAACTGAACTAGAACTGAACTAGAACTGAACTAGAACTGAACTAGAACTGAACTAGAACTGAACTAGAACTGAACTAGAACTGAACTAGAACTGAACTAGAATTGAACTAGAACTTTACTAATACTGAACTAGAATTTTTCTGCCTTTTAAGGTTAAAATATTATTTTCCAACTTGTTGCTAAACAAATTTATTTAATTTTATTGAAGTATTGAAGTTGACAGACAGCTTGTTTTTGGTAATAAATTGTTATATATTTTAATAAAATGTTATTTACACAAAAACTTGTGGGTCTTGGAAGATACAAAAACTATCGTTTAATAAACATTTTTCTTTCCTTTAAAGGTCTACTATGCAAAAAAGAAACGTCGTGCCCAACAGACACAAGGCGAAGATGATTCCTCAAATAAAAAGGAACGTAAATTATATAATGATGGCTATGATGACGATAATCACGATTATATAATTAAGCATGGTGAAAGATTTTTGGATCGTTATGAAATTGATTCATTGATAGGTAAGTTGGGAAAATGAATTTCCAAATAGAAATGCGTTTTATAATAAATCTATGTTTTTTCCATTAATAGGTAAAGGTAGTTTTGGACAAGTGGTCAAGGCTTATGATCATGAAGAGCAAGGTTATGTAGCAATAAAGATAATTAAGAATAAGAAACCGTTCCTAAATCAGGCACAAATTGAGGTTAAACTATTGGAAATGATGAATCGTGCAGATGCAGAAAATAAATATTATATCGGTAGGTTTAAACTTCCTCCTCAAGAAATATATATATATATTTTTTAACAAAACTTTTTCTTGTTGCAGTTAAACTTAAACGGCATTTTATGTGGCGCAATCATTTATGTTTAGTATTTGAATTATTATCCTATAATTTATATGATTTATTACGTAATACAAATTTTCGTGGTGTCTCATTGAATTTAACACGAAAATTTGCTCAACAGCTATGCACTGCTTTGCTCTTCTTGAGTACTCCCGAACTGAATATAATCCACTGTGATCTAAAACCCGAAAATATATTACTTTGTAATCCCAAAAGATCAGCCATAAAAATTGTTGATTTTGGCAGTTCTTGTCAATTGGGTCAAAGGGTAAGTTAACATTTCTAACGCTATTAAACTTTAAAATCACTAATATTTTCACTTTTCTCCTGATCAACAGATATACCAATATATACAATCACGTTTCTATCGTTCACCGGAAGTTTTATTAGGCATACCTTATGATTTGGCCATTGATATGTGGTCTTTGGGTTGTATTTTAGTGGAAATGCATACTGGCGAACCTTTATTCTCCGGCTGTAATGAAGTCGATCAAATGAATAAAATTGTTGAGGTCTTGGGTATGCCACCCAAATATCTGCTCGATCAAGCGCACAAGACTCGTAAATTTTTCGATAAAATCGTCTCAGATGGTTCGTATGTTTTGAAGAAAAGTCAAAATGGTCGTAAATACAAACCGCCTGGGTCACGTAAACTACACGATATACTGGGCGTCGAAACGGGCGGTCCGGGTGGTCGACGTATGGATGAGCCGGGTCATTCGGTAGCGGACTATTTAAAATTCAAAGACTTAATATTACGAATGTTGGATTTTGATCCGAAGACACGTGTCACACCGTATTATGCGTTACAGCATAATTTCTTTAAGCGTACCACAGATGAGGGTACCAATACGGGTGCTGGTTCGGTACAAACTGGTAGTATAGCAATATCTTCGCCTTCCGTTAGTTCAACATCATCATCGACGGCCGCTCTAGTGCCGGGTGGTCAAATGGTACCGGTTAGTGCGGTGCAACATTCAGAACAACAGAGTCATGGTAAGTTTTTATAAGAATTTTATTTTTTACTTTTATGTAGATTTCATTTCTTATTGAGTTTTTTTTTTCTTAAACGGATTTTTTTTTTTTCGAAGATTTGAGTTTAATTTCTATACAATTTTTTTATTTATTAAATATTCCAACTTAATTTTTATGATTTTAAAATTTTTCTTTAAAATTTTAACGTTTTAAAGTCATGTTTGAAAATTCGAACTTAATTTCGAATTTCAAAATTTCTTCCCAAACTGTTAAATTTTAGTTTACATTAAGAAAATATGTAAATTTAACATTTTCTTTGCGATTTCAATGTTTTAGGATATGTTCGAAAATTCGAACTTAATTTCGAACATCTAAAAATCACTATTAACCAATTAGTTTATTGTTTTATAAGAAATTACAAAAATTCTGCTGTTTTTGTACACTTTTGTACCAATTTCGGCAAGTTCGAAAATTCGAACTTAATTTTGAACATCTGAAAATGACTATAAACTAATTAGTTTTTATTGTTTTATAAGAAATTGTATAAATTTTGGACATTTTACCATTTTTTTAGTCACTTTCTGCAATGTTCGAAAATTCGAACTTAATTTCGAAATTCTATAATTCCTTCGAAAATCTTTAGTTTTTGTGTGCAAATTAAATACGTTTAAAAATTTAACGTTTTCTTTGAAATTTCAACGTTTTAGGACATGTTCGAAAATTCGAATTTAATTTCGAACATCAAAAAATCACTATTAACCAACTAGTTTTTATTGTCTTATAAGAAATTATATAAATTTTGAAAATTTTGTTACTTTTGAATCGTTTTTGCCATTTTCGAAAATTCGAACTTAATTTCGAAAGTTTTAATATTCATTCCAAAATGTTTACTTTTGTGTGCAATTGAAATACATCTAAAAATTTAATATTTTCTTTGAAATTTCAACGTTTTAGAACATGTTCGAAAATTCGAACTTAAATTCGAACATCTAAAAATCACTATTAACTAATTAGTTTTTATTGTTTTATAAGAAACTACAAAAATTTTCCATTTTTTGTACACTTTTGTACCAATTTCGGCAAAGTTCGAAAATTCGAACTTAATTTCGAAGTTCTAAAAATTATTTCAAATTGTTTAGTTTTAAACGTTTATAAAAAAATTATATAAATTTTGAAAATTTTTCCATTTTTAATTACTTTCTGCAATGTTCGAAAATTCGAAATTAATTTCGAATTTCTAAAAACCTGCCCAAATTCTTTAGTTTTCAGTCTACATTAGGAAAATATGCTAAATTTTTAAATTTTGTCGATTTTAAATCTTTTAAGACATGTTCGAAAATTCGAACTTAATTTCGAAAAGCTAAAAACCTGCTTTAATTCTTTAGTTTTTACACTGCATTAGGAAAATATGCAAAATTTGAAGTTTTTGTGGATTTTCAACCTTTTACTTCTAAAAATGTTTAGTTTTTAGTCTGCATTTGGGAAATATGCAAAATTTGATTTTTTTTTCTTACATATTTTGAACCTTTTAAGACATATTCGAAAATTCGAACTTAATTTCGAAAAGTTAAAAACCTGCTTAAATTCTTAAGTTTTCAGTCTACATTAACAGAATATGCAAAATTTGAAGTTTTTATGGATTTTCAACCTTTTGTGAGATGTTCGAAAATTCGAACTTAAATTCGAAGTTCAAAAATTCGAACTAAAGTGTTTAGTTTTTAGTCTGCATTTGAGAAAAATGCTAAATTTGTAGTTTTTTACTTATTTTGCACCTTTTAAGACAATTTTCATAAATTTCAATAATTTTCATTATACTGTAAGGAAATATATAAATTTTGTAAATTTAAGCTTTCTGAAGACATGATCGAAAAATTCGAACTTAATTTCGAACTTAGACGTGATATTGAAATCATAATTTTTAAAATTTTTTAAATTTAAAATTTTTTTATTTTTTTAATATTGAATTTTAACGGTTGCCCCTAAAAATAGGCAATTATTTGTAGCTTTATTACCTTCTTTACTAACCTCAAAAGTAGGCTATTAATGGTTAACCTTAAATGGTTATTAAGAGTTTGTTAAATTTGAGTTATTTGTTGTTGTTGTTGTTTTTTATAATTTTTGTATTTTACTTTTTTTTAAATATTTATTTTAATTAAAATTATGTTGTTTTATTATAATTATAAAAGTAGTTTATTTAGTAGTTTTTTTGTAAATTTAAAATTTTAAGAAATATAGTTAATTATAAAATATACAAATATTTTTCTTCTCTTTTTCTATTTCTATGTGTTAATTAAAAAACAAAATTTTGTAAACAAAACAAAAAAAAACATTGTAAAATTATAAACACAAACAAAAAACTGTAAAATTTATTTTTAAATTAAAAAAAAAAAAAAAAACTAAAACACTGTGCTTTATAATAAACAATATATAACAACCAAGATGATAGACGATGACCTGGCTTAATGGCAAGAGATCATTTTCTACCACAACAACAAATTCAACACTCAACATCATTAAAATCAGCATCATCAACATCTTCATCAACAACATCAATCGCTTCCTCAGGTTCGAATACAACAACAGCAGCTACCAGGAGTTTAATTAATAAAAATACAACAATTTCAACATTAACAACAACCTCAACAGCCAATACAATGGGTCAAACACTACCACCACAGCAACAACAACAACAAACACATCCTCAACATCAACAACAACAGCAACAATCAACACATGGTACTATACATCATTTGGTTTAAATTCTTAAACAATTCATCTTTTTTTTTTGCTTTGTTTTTCTGTAAAGTCCAAACTTTTTGAAATCTTGTTCATTTAACTTAAAAATTTCTATTTTTTCCTGTTTCTATTGTATATAAAATTTCTTTAATCCTGTTGTTTTTTTTTATATATACTTTTTCTATTGTGTTCAACAAAGAATGTATAAAGTTTTCTAAATTCCCCTTTTTGAGAAAAGTATAGTTGGCCTAAACAGAACCACTACTACTACCAACACCACCTTCAACTTCAACTCTACCATTATTACAGTTTAATGAACGATCTTGAATATTGTATAACCGGTTTAAGTGCATTTAATTGTTTATGTTTAAAAATAATAATTGTTTGACATAAACAACAGCGTATGTGTGTGTGTGGGTGTGTGCCAGCAAGCAACGTTTTGGTTATTTAATAAATTATTAAAAACAATTAAAAAAAAAAACATTAAAACATAACGTTTTAAAACGTCAAGTGTAGCATATTATTATTATTATTGTAGTTTTTAAGTATTTCAATATTTATATTTATAAAACAAAAACAGAAGTAACAAATTCCTTTTATTTCTATATAAGTTAGACAATTTTAGTTATTTATTTAAATTTAGTTTAAAATTACTTTAAAGATTTAATTTTAAGTTGATTTAAAAATTACTTAAGAGTTTACTTAAGAAACCAAAAGTTAGTTTTTAAAAATTTAATAACCATTTCAAATATTTTCGCTTTTGCAAGTTTACTTCTATTTCTTAACTTTTTCATATAATTTTTTTTTTTTAATAAAATTTCAAATTTATTACAAATTCTAATAAATTTTTTATAAATTTCCTACAAGTTTTCTTTATTTATTTCTCAATAAGCTTATTTAGCTTAGAATTTTAAACGAATTTGTTTGTTTACTTTGTACTACTAAGTTTAAACTTAAATTTTTATACAAATTCATTGCTAAGCATGGTTCTAAAGTTATTTTCTTAACATTTCATCTCGAATTACAGTAAAATCTTAAATGTTTTTGTCTTTTTTATGAAAAGTTGTTTTAAAATATTTCAAAAATCTTAATGTTTCTTATATATAACAATCTTCAACATCGTTTTAAACAAAAAACTATTAAGAAAATTAAATTTGAACTTAAAAGTTTAAAGTTTTGAAAAACGTATTTTGAAATTTCTTTAATAACTTCTTAACTAAAGCTGATAATGAAATTTGAAAACATGTTGTTTAATATACGAGGTCTGCAGTATACAAAAATGCTAAAAGTTTTATCGAGTCGGTTTTAGTTTGTGAAATACAAACAAAACAAAATTTGTTAAAATATGAAAATTAAAATTGTTGATTAATTGTTTAGCTAAGGCTGATAATAAGATTCCATTACATGTTCTTAAATATACGAGGGCCGCTTTATACAAATATGCTAAAAGTTTTCTCGAGTCAGCTTTAGTTTGTAAAATATGAGCAAAACAACATTTGGTTAAAATATGAAAATTAAAATTGTTTAAAAATTTCTTAGCTAAAGCTGATAATAAGTTTCCATTACATGTTCTTAAATATACGAGGCCCGCTGTATACAAATATGCTAAAAGTTTTCTCGAGTCAGCTTTAGTTTGTAAAATATAAGCAAAATAAAATTCGTTAAAACATCAAAAGTGAAGTTATTTAACAATTTCTTAGCTAGTGCTGATAATAAGTTTTCATTGCACGATTCTGAATATACGAGGGCCGCTGTATACAAACATGCTAAAAGTTTTCTCGAGTCAGCTTTAGTTTGTGAAATATGAGTAAAACAAATTTTGTTAAACTATGAAAATTAAAATTGTTTAATAATTTCTTAGCTAGAGCTGATAATAAGATTTCATTACATGTTTCTGAATATACGAGGTCCGCTGTATACAAATGTACTAAAAGTTTTATCGAGTCGGCTTTAGTCTGTAAAATATGAGCAAAACAAACTTTGCTAAAAAAATGAAAATTAAATTTGTTTAATAATTTCTTAGCTAGTGTTGATAATAAGATTCCATTACATGTTCTTAAATATACGAGGGCCGCTGTACACAAATGTGCTAAAAGTTTTCTCGAGTCAGCTTTAGTTTGTGAAACATGTATGAGTAAAACAAAATTTGTTAAAATATGCAAATTGAAGTTGTTTGATAATTTCTTAGCTAGAGCTGATAATAAGATACCATTACATGTTTCTGAATATACGAGGGTCGGTGTATACAAATATGCTAAACGTTTTCGTATCGGCTTTAGTTTGTG